GCTCTGGCTGTTGGTGTTAACCTGCCACAAGCAATTGCAGCAAAGTACAAGTAGTCCAGGCTTGGGATGTAGAATTGGCTTAAAGAGAGTTTTTAAACATAAAAATTAGGGGTTTTGGGTTGCTCCATGTGGTGAGGCACCACCAGACTGTTAGCTGTTCTCTATCCATAACACAGGGTATGGAGAGCACTCAGTTTTGTACACAGTTGTGGCTGATGGCTGATGACAATTTTCACTTCTTGACAAAACAGAGCATCTTCTATTTCATCATCATCCTCAACACATCGCCCAAAACTTTTATTTATATTTAGCTAGAAACCCCTTCACAGGACACTTTGGCCATTGCTCTTCTAAAGAAAAAGCAATGAAACAGAAACAAGAAACAAGTCCCTCTGGGAAGTAACTGCTTCCCTCTAGGGATAAGACCTTCCTGAGGGAGTAGGATGAGGAAGAGAGAGAACAGCTTGGATGAAGATCATACTTAACATTTAGAAATTACATTCTCAACCTGAAGTGGTTGCCTGGATATTGTTGCTGGCAGTGCATCATCTGCAGAGTACCATGGGTTCAGATAAATCCTGTTGTTGAAGTAATCACTCTTCTGAGCCATTGTAAACAGATACAACTTTGTGACAATGGTGATCACCAAACATATGAAAGTAATCCTCCTCCACCTGACTGTGATGCTGCTGTTCACTTTGCCTGTGAAAACACTGTGGTTGTTGCTGTGATCTCTGATAGGACTCAGTGCTACACTTCCAAAGGATATCTAATGTGACAGACACTGTATTTCATGAGTTCTCTAAAACTGCTCAAAGGTTTGCTTACTTGCATTATATGTATTCAGTCGTATAAAACAAAACTTCCCCATCCTGTTTGCCAAATACAGCATGCACAGATCATAAACAAATTTGTATTTAATCTGCAAAAATTGTTAGCTTGCCAAACCATTGTGATTATTATCTAAGATTCTGTGATGAAAATTTATAGCTGCAGAAATCAGCAGGGCATCAATCTTGATGAAGTCAGTGCATTGCTAGAATAATTACAGACAGCATTAATCTAAAACACATTAGATAGGATCAGTCACCATAAAACCTGGATTCTTCTATTGAATAATATTTGTCTGCAAAGTTCATGCAGGGAGGAAGAAAGAGAAACACTTTTGACTTTACAGTTATAATTTTTCAAGCACTTTCACAAAAACATCTGATTAGAGAAGTAAACATCAAAACTTCTGTCAGTTTTGACAATAAAAGCTAATTATTCCACTGGATTGCTACCTATTATTTGATAGCAAATACTAGTAAGCAATGACGAAGCGTCTACTTGCCATTTGTGAAGAAATGGATTGCTCCAGAGGCTGCTGATGTTATGGAAAAGCTCTTAGACATTCCCTCAAAACGTGGGCTGGGTCACAGCAGGACTGTCACTTTCTGACACCTGCTGGATGATCTTCACTCTCCATGGCTCCCATACAGCTTCACAGTGGACAGAAGCTTCCCTATTTGCATCTGCTTTCCTTTATCTCACGAAGGGAAGGCTATGGAGTGAGTGAGCACAGACTGCTGATGCATTCCCAGGCACAAGGCACATGGCAGGATTATGCAGCTTGCGATGCTGCTACCCTACTGTCATGCACATAAATAAGAGTTAGTAGCAAGAAAGAATGAAAATCTGTCTCATAAATTTTACCATCTCTTCAAGCCTGCCACAGATTTTGAAAGATCAGAAAACAGATTATACTGTGGAATATATATCTTTACACCCAAATATATATTTTCTGTGCTTGACAAATTATTGTAACTGAGAAGGAATGAACATGCTCAGCTCCACCGACTTGGCTGGAAGGTGGAAGTGCTCAGTCTGTCACAGGGCCAGGCCTGGAGACATCTTTTATCTTAAAGCCTGTGACAAAGCACACAAACAGAATATTTCTGTATGCATTAATCATCTACTTACTTATAATTTAAATGTCTGTTGCATAAATTACTTTTAATGGACTAATAAAAGCGAAACCCACTGTTTGCACTGGGAAGTGCAAGCAAAATACATTTTTATTATTTCTATGCTGTCTAATTTTAAAACAGAATAACCAAGCCCCTGGGATGTTCATCAGTTGTTCGATTTGTAGTACTGAGCTAACAGATGAGGAAAGCAGGAGGAAAGAAACCCTAATCATTCTTGTCCTTTTATTTGTGCAGTTGGGTAGCTTTGGTACTTGGCAATGCTGTCAAGTATGGCAAACATAGCAAGGTGCTGTCTTGTCTTCCAGAATGTCCACTTTTGTTTTCGTTTATTAAAAGATAAATCCCTTTCAGGAATGGTTATGAGAGAACTTAAAAGCCCAAAGTAACCCCTCTTGAGATCACTACATGGATGTGCTGCCAGCTGCAGTAATTAGGCTGGAAATTCTGAGCACTTTTTCCTCTGACTTTTGTCAGAAACTTTAAATAGAATAAAATAGCTCAGTTGGAAGGGATCTACAAAGAGTGAAACGGCCTGACCATTTCAGAGCTAACCAGAAGTGAAAGCATATTATTAAGGGCATTGTTCAAATGTCTCTTCAACACTGACAAGCATGGGGTGTCAACACCTCTCTAGGAATCCTGTTCCACTGTTTGACCACCCTCAGTAAAGAAATGATTCCTAACGCCCGGTTTGACATTCTTCTGGCACAGCTCTGTGCATTCCCACACTGCCATCAGTTCCCAGAAGCAGAGCCCAGCATCTCCCTCTGCTTCTCCCTTCAGGGAGAAGCAGAGAGCAGTGAGGCCTTCTCTGCTCCAGCTTGCGCAACACAGTGCCATCAGTCTCCCCTCACAGGACATGCTTTCAGCACTGTTAGTTGCTCTGGATGCTTTCAAGGACATCTTTGTTGTACTGGAGAAACCAGAACTGCATGCAGTATTCCAGGTCAGGCCACACCGATGCTAAATAAAGCAGGACAGTCACCTCTTTCGGCCGGCTGGCTATCCTGTGCTTAACGGACCCCAAAATGTGGTTTTCCCTCACAGCTGCCAGATCATGCTGCTGGTTCGCACTGAGCAGCTGTCACCAACACCCCAGGTCCCTTTCTGCTTTCTTGCCAGTTGTCTCCCAGCCTGTGCACTGCCATTTCAGATGGCTACTGCAGATAAGGGCTGCACCAGTCATGCTCCCTCATTATCAGCGAGGTGACATCAGCAGTAGGGATCACTGGTGCTAATGCCTCACCCTGAGGCCTCCCATGTATCGCCTGTGTGCTATCAGCAGCCAGCAGCTGAGCCACACCTCTGCTGTGTCCTCTGCTCACCCCTGGGGCAGAGCATGGCCTAGTTGTGGGGACAGCAAGCCCCACTGGGGTGAGGGAGCCCCAGCAGCTCCAGAGCAAAAAGTGTGATGAGTGCCACCCCATCAGGCCTGGCTCTGCTGCCTCATGCAACCCAGGTGCAAGGCAGTGTCTCCCTGCCATTGTTTCACAGGATTTGGCTGAGGGGACAGGCAGCTCCAGAGATGCTTTTTGGAGACCTCCTCAGCTGGAAAGCCCCTGGGACTCACCCCCTACATTGGGTTTACGTGCCAAGATTTTGGTCACGGTGGGGCTGCATGGGTAGCCTCTGTGAGCAGAGCCCAGCACTGCCCCACATCAGATCACAGCCACCTCCAGCTGCTCCAGAAGGCACCTGCCTCTGCCAGAGCTGAGCCATGAGTGACGTTGGGTGTGCTCTGGGAGAGCAGATTTAAGGAAGGGAAACACTGTTGGGCAACAGCAGCTGGGAGAAATGGGAGAGAAACAGTCCTGCAGTCATCAAGGTCAGTGCAGGAGGGCAGGAGATGGTCCAGGCACAGAACACAAGTTCCCTGCAGCCCAGGAGAAGCCCATAGTGGAGAAGGCTGTCCCCCTGCAGCCCACGGACACGCAGAGCAGCGCTCCACTGCAAGCACAGAAGAGCCCAGGGGGCAGCAGTAGATGCAGCTGAAGGATCCACAACCAGTGCAGAGCCTCAGCAGGAGCTGTGGGGCCTTTTGCTGCAACAGTGCATGCCTGAAGGCTGGGCCCCACGGCACAGACCCATGTTGGAGAGGTGCTGGGAGAGCTGCAGTCTGTGGGAAGCCCATGGGGGAATCAGCTGGGGAAGGATGGCATCTCATGGGAGGCACCAACATGGAGCAGGGGCAGAGAGCGGCAGTGGAGGAGCGGCTGTCCCTATTTTCCTGTGCTGCTCAGAGGTAGAACAGGGTGGAAGAGAAGGAAGGTGGTTTTAGCGTGCTTTTGGTTCTCACTACTGTACTCTGTTAGTCATAGGTAATAAATTGCATTGCTCTCCTATGCCGTGCGTTCAGCCCATGACAATAAGCAGTGAGCGATCTCAACCCACGAGCCCTTTCTCACAGCACGTTCTCCCCCCGTTCCTATGAGGGCAGTGACCGCAGCGCAGCGGAGCTGAGCTGCTCAGGACGTGACACGACCACAGCGCTACCCGCGGCGGTGAGCGAGGGCCGTGTCCAGCCGCCCCGCCCGCCCCTCGCCGTCAGCCCGCACCTGCTGGAGCCGGGGAGGCCGGTGCAGAGGGGAGGTGACGCGTGGCCGTCACCCCGATCCCGGCACGTAGCCCGGAAGCGCAACGACCGCCTGCAAAACCGCCGACTCGCGCTCTTTTCGACGCCGACCTCCGCGGCCCACCCGGGACGGACTACCTTTCCCAGGAGCCCCGCGGGGCGGTGCAGCGGGCTCGACTCGCTCCGCCCCGCGCTCGCCCCGTCCCTCCGCGCTGCACGACGGTCCTTATAGTCCGCGCTCCTTCCGCGCTGCGGGTCGCGGTGCCGGGAAAGACTACAGCTCCCAACGGCCGCGCGGCGCCGCGCCTGCGCCGCCGGCCTGGAAGTGAGAGAGGCCGTTGCGTTACGGGCAACGGCCGAGGCGGCGGAGCGGCGGCGAGCGGCGGTGCCGGCGGCTTCCGCGTCGGCTTCCGCGTCTGCGGGCGGGGCGGCGGCGGCGGCGGCGGCGGCAGGGGGGAGCTCAGTGGATGGGGCGCTGCGGCCGGCGGCGGTTCCGGCATCCGTCAGACGCCGGCCGGCGGCCGGGGAGGAGGGGATGAGCCCGTGAGGCGGAGGAGCGCGGGTGGGGCGAGCCCGGCCGGAGCGGAGCGATGTCCCAGCCCCGGCAGCAGCCGCCGCCGCCGCCGTCTCCTCAGCAGCAGCCGCAGCCGCCGCCTCCGGCCGCCGCCAAGAAGCGGGAGCGGCGCATCTTCTCGGGCACCTGCCCCGACCCCAAATGCCAGGCGCGGCTGTTCTTCCCGGCCCACGGGCCGCAGGGCGCCGGCAGCATCGAGTGCACGGACTGCGGGCAGCGGCACGAGCAGCGGCAGCTGCTGGCGGTGGAGGAGGTGACGGACCCCGACCTGGTGCTGCACAACCTGCTGCGGAACGCGCTGCTGGGCGTCAGCGGCGCCGGGCCGCCCCGCAGGAACACCGAGCTCGTCAAGGTGCTGGGCCTCTCCAACTACCACTGCAAGCTGCTGGCTCCCATCCTGGCCCGCTACGGCATGGACAAGCAGACGGGCAAGGCCAAGCTCCTCACGGAGATGAACCAGGGAGACATCTTCGACTGCTCCCTGCTGGGGGACCGCGCCTTCCTCATCGAGCCGGAGCACGTCGAGACCGTCGGCTACGGCAAGGACCGCTCCGGCAGCCTCATCTACCTGCATGACACTCTGGAAGACATCAAGAAGGCCAACAACAGCCAGGAGTGCCTCATTCCTGTCCACGTGGATGGAGACGGCCACTGTCTGGTCCACGCGGTCTCACGGGCGCTCGTGGGCAGGGAACTATTCTGGCACGCTCTGCGAGAGAACTTGAAGAAGCATTTTGAGGAGAACCTGAGTCACTACAAGGCGCTCTTCCACGATTTTATCGACGTGGCTGAGTGGGAGGACATCATCAATGAGTGCGACCCGTTGTTTGTTCCTCCGGAAGGTGTGCCCATGGGCCTTAGGAATATTCACATCTTTGGCCTGGCCAACGTGCTTCATCGGCCTATCATCCTGTTAGACTCACTGAGCGGAATGCGAAGCTCCGGAGACTATTCAGCAACATTCCTCCCTGGTCTGGTACCCCTAGAAAAATGTATGGGAAAAGATGGCATGTTGAACAAGCCGATTTGCATCGCCTGGAGTAGTTCAGGACGTAACCATTATATTCCTCTGGTTGGAATAAAAGGTGCTGCTTTACCTAAACTGCCTAGAAAGCTCCTGCCTAAAGCCTGGGGAGTTCCACAAGACCTCATCAAAAAATACATCAAGTTAGAGGAGGACGGTGGTTGTGTTATCGGAGGAGACAGAAGCTTGCAAGATAAGTATTTGATGAGACTGGTTGCTGCAATGGAGGAGGTTTTCATGAGTAAACACGGTATTCACCCCAGTCTTGTAGCTGATGTGCATCAGTACTTCTACAGAAGGACTGGGGTAATAGGAGTCCAGCCTGAAGAAGTCACGGCAGCTGCCAAAAAAGCAGTGATGGACAACCGCCTTCACAGGTGCCTGATGTGTGGAGCCCTTTCAGAACATCATGTGCCTCCAGAGTGGTTGGCTCCAGGGGGGAAATTGTATAATCTGGCAAAAAATACCCACGGTCAGCTGAGGCCTGACAAAAATTACAGCTTTCCCCTGAACAATTTGGTGTGTTCTTACAGCCCTGCAAAGGATGTGCTGGTACCAGACTACAGCCTGAGTAGTTTGACTACGTGTAACTGGTGTCACAGTAACTTAGTGCGTCGTGTCCGAGAAGACGGCTCTGTTTCGTATTTGGATGGAGACAGAACTAACACTAGGTCTACGGGTGGCAAGTGTGGCTGTGGATTCAAGCACTACTGGGAAGGTAAAGAGTACGATAACCTCCCCGAAGCGTTTCCCATTACTCTCGAGTGGAGTGGAAGAGTGGTGAGAGAGACGGTCTACTGGTTTCAGTATGAAAGTGACACCTCTTTGAACAGCAACGTGTATGATGTTGCCATGAAGCTTGTCACCAAACATTTCCCTGGTGAGTTTGGTAGTGAGATTCTTGTTCAGAAAGTTGTCAACACGATATTGCATCAAACTGCCAAAAAGAACCCTGATGATTATACCCCTGTAAATATTGACGGTGCTCATGCCCAAAGAGCTGGGGAGGTACAGCAAGGACAAGAGTTAGAATCACAACTTCCAACCAAAATTATTTTGACTGGACAGAAGACAAAAACTTTGCACAAGGAGGAGTTAAATATGAGCAAAATTGAAAGAACTATTCAGCAGAACATTGCAGACCAGGCCTCTGTGATGCAGAAACGGAAAAGTGAAAAAGTAAAACAAGAGCACAAAGGGCAACCGAGAACTGTGTCTCCAGGGGCTGTTCGTGAGGGGCCATCATCTGCACCTGCTACGCCAACAAAAACCCCGTATTCGCCAACGTCTACAAAGGAAAAGAAAATCCGAATAACAACGAATGATGGGAGGCAGTCCATGCTTACCCTGAAGTGCACTACCACTTTCTTGGAACTACAGGAAAGCATAGCTAGAGAGTTTAATATTCCTCCATATTTGCAATGTATTCGCTATGGCTTTCCTCCTAAAGAGCTTTTGCCTCCCAAAGAAGGCATGGAAAATGAACCTGTGCCTTTGCAGCATGGTGACAGAATTGCCATAGAAATCCTGAAAGGTAAGGAGGAGAGCAGCCAGCCTGCTGCAGCACACTCAGCCCACGCCGTGAAACATGACGATGTGGCAGTGACCAGTAAAATCTCATCGAAGGAGCTGCAGGAGCAAGTTGATAAGGAGATGTACTCTCTGTGTCTTCTAGCAACGCTGATGGGTAAGGCTGGCTTCAAGTTGTACTTTAAATTGCTTTTTAAAATAGAAATTACAATTTTACAAAATAGTGTTACATCCATCTAATCTGTAACTGTGAACAGAGTAGTGGCTTTATTCCTCTTACTAGAACAACAGTTAACATGCCATCAGTGATTTTTTTTTTTTTTTGAGTGTTGTTACTTCTTAAAATGTGTATGTCAGATAGTTGTTCTTTGCTATAAAATCCTCTTGAAACAGTTACTGTTTAGGAGATGGTGTATTTCCTCTTCTGACTATCTCTCTACTTGTGATATCCGTTTGTTTTTCCAGGGTCAATAAAGCACACATCTGAGGTGTACCTGTGTGAGCTGCATACTGGCTCTCCTTATATCTCCCTCAGGTTACAGGAAATCAGAGCAGGTGTGAGAGGGGCATGTTGCCTGTCTGCTTGTGGGAAGTTTGAGGACTCAGTTCTCACCTTTCTAGGATAAAAAGTCGTAGCATTTCTTCCCTTGGGAGTTGTGTTGATTTCAGCTAATCAATACAACATTTTCTCTGTAGCTGATGTGCCAATTTTGCATCAAGATCTGGTCTTTTTAAGAAGCTGTGAAATGTATCGTTTAGAACGCAAGCAGAGGAGAACCTGAAAGTAGCTAAATGCATATTTGAATCCCAAATGTAGACGTAGGGTAGCAAAGCTATGCTCATAAATTGTCATTCTCGTAAATGGCCATTAATCATTCAAAACAGATGAACTTCTCCTGGTTGCCTATGGTTTTATTTTCCTGTTTGGGCTCAGGAGACTTGGGCCTTCATTTGTGTGCCAGGCTCTCTGGATAACTAAATATTTTAATTTGGTGACTGACAAAAGACAGCTTTTCTTGGCTTTGCTTTTTTTTTTTTTTTTTCCTTCCTTCCCAGCATGTATGAGTGTGCTATTTTGAAATGACTTTTCTGTATTAAGTTGAGCAGTTCTTGCTGTTTAGTAACAGGAAGCAGAACAATAATTACCGTTTAGCTGTCTAAACAAGTTGAACGGTAATGTTTGTTGCAGTTGTTTTTGTTTAAGAGTGAGACTTCTCTTCTGCTGGAGGGATTTGGTGTGGCCAAAGCATGTGATGTTTTAGAAACAAAACCACGGCATAATCATAGAGTGACATGTCAGAAACTCATAATGCAGAACTTTGATTTTTTTTTTCCAAGCCTGCTTGTTCCCTCCCGTACCTCTGGCAAGAAAGAGCATGCTGAGCCACTTGGCACCTCATCCAATGACGTTTGTGCCGCAGTTCCAAAGTGCAGGAGAAGGCTAGGTTGGGTTTCTTGATTTGAAAATGAAACTTAGAGTGTTTTCCCATTCTCAAGAAATACTCTTGAAAATGTAGCTATTTATTGGCTTACAAAATACTCTGAAGTGCTTTAAAATATCTTAGTGACTTCAGCATGAAGGTGTCTGATTTTTTTAATTATCATTATTGTTATTTTTTAACGTATGCTTATCTATAAAGCGTGAGCTGGTCTTGTATTCTAGCATCAGTTTTTGTTTCTGGCTGTCATTGCTGTGGGATTTTGCTTGGGAAACACAGGTTAGAATAGCGTTTACCTCACGCGTCCTTATCCATTTTGTGTTATTAGCACAACTAAAAGTGGCAGCAAACCACTGACCGACTAGTTCTAACAATGTGTGCAGCTATTGAGTAAGGTGCTATTTTTATGTAGTCGCTTTTCACATCAGGGCGTCATTTTCCTTCAGCAATACTTGTGGAAAAGATCCAGGCAGCCAACTACTTCCTATTGTGATTTTTCAGATGAGAGACAAGCTTTAAAAACTCCAAGTCATTACACTTTCATGATAAGATTCAGGTGCCAGTTCCTTAGCTGCTATATTCAGCCTTTCTGGGACAAGAAACCACAGTGTTCCTCAGTTGTGCTTTTGCACAGTTGAACAGTGCTGCTGAGTTTTGAGAGTCAGAGTATCCTGCGTGCTTTTGCTGTAACTTGTATTCGTTAAGTGTTCATCTAACGTGGTCAGATGAGAACATGCATTTCTCCTCTGCTATTGAACGAGCTTTGGATCAGACTAACTTTTTCTGTTTTGTTCCTCCCCCGCCCATAGTGCCCATAGTGAAAGTTTGTATTTGGAGTTCTATGGCTACTCATTCTGGATGTGTAAAAGATATGATTGCATACAGAGCCTTCTCTTGTCTGAGTAGATGTTTCTTTCCTATTTTAGTTACTATGATTTTTCTTTTCTGGTCTCAGCTAGCTAACTCATTTAAATTTTAAGCCTCGGTATTTTGTTTTTATGCATATCAGTTGAAAATGAGCTTTGGGAAATCAGATACTGTAATTTCTGAGCTACTTACCATATTAATGCTGACTTTTTTTTTTTTAAGCTTTCTCCCCTGTTTTTGTTTAGCTCAAAATATACAATCGTCAAGGAAATCAGTACAGGAAGTTTAATTCTGCATTAACATAGTAAAAACATAGTATTTTCAAACTGATGTAATTACTCCCATGCAAAACTACCTGGATGTGTGCAAGCCAAATATGAATCTATTTTAGTCAGTTGTTTTTGCATTGATAAATCCATTGGTGCACATGAAATTCAAAGAACCTGGTTTAAATTAAGAATATTGATTGATGCCAGGATTTGCTTGGATTGAAACAGCCTGTTTTAGAGCCAGATGTAGTTCCTTGTAACCTGTGATTACCAGCTGAATTTTTGGTTTGTTCTGCACTCCTGCATGCCTCCTCTGCTGTGCAAAGCGATGGTCTCGGGCATGGACTGGCAGAGGTTAGTGGGCACCTGCTCCTCAAAGCGGTGCATGGAGCACGCTTGTGGGTAGAATATTCTTTGTGTGTTGCCACTCCTCATGTTGTGGGGTTGAACTCTGGTCTGAGGGAGTGTGTGCTGTGGTGATAATAGCGTGGAGAACATCGTCCCTGATAAATGCAGCATCTGCAGGGAGTTTGTAATCTAAATGATCTCCCAATTGAACTTGTGGCCTGTAAGCATCTTGCACTGTAGACAAAACCAAAACAAACAGTGAAACCCAAATGGGAGCAAAAATGTGTAGACCTCAAACACAGTCCAGTTCAGTCTTAGCCAGTAGTTACTCGAGTCTGGGAAAGTCCAGTTGCAATTGCTTTGGTTATTTTTGGTGTTCCAATCTCTAGCAAAACAGTGTAGGTTTTTTGTGTTTCTTTCGGTGGCTGATGCTTTTGTTTCTTGAGCCCTTCTCCCTGTACTTTCCAGCATGTAGTCCTTGTTAGTGTTGCATCAAAGGCTGTCTAAACAATGGTGCTTCTCTGGTGAAAAAGCCGGCCTGGAGCACACAGATATCATTTCTTCTTAGAAAATGCCTCTAATTTATAAAAGTGGGTCTTTACTGAAGGCCTAGTGGGGGTCTTGTAGGATCCCTGCAATAAAAATGAATTGCTAAACGCAGCAGAACAGGAGTCTGCAAATGGAGTCAGCTATTGTGGCTGCTGGCTGTGGCTTCTCAAAGCTAAAGCAGACTGAAAACTGTTTTACTGCTTATCAGTGTAGTGGTTGTTTTGGTTCCTGTGTACAGTATTTAAATTGACAGAAGGAGGACTTCAGGTTGCTGATGCTTGAGGGGAAAGCAAAGGGCCACAGCTGTGATAGTGTGGAGCCACTGCATAGAGAGATGTCTGTTTCCAAATGTAATTGAGAACAGGGATGCAGGATAGTAGTGAGCCTCTTTTGAAATGGCAGAAAATAGGAAAATGTATTCTCATCGGTGAGTTCCCTCCCTCTGTGTGTGAGAAAGAGGGAAACTGTGGCAGTTGTGAGGAGGGCATGAGATTGCTTCCTTGAGCTGTCTTTAGTGAGGTCAGTGAGAGCTTAGGAGGAGCTTTGAATTTGTGAGTGAATCCAGAGATGGGGGTTGTCAGGATAAGGCCAAAAGATAAGACACTGTTCTTAGTAGGTCAGGGAAGTAAGGAAGTAGCAGGTGCTCTCACTGGGAAGTGGACGTCTGACCGGATCAGTCAGCTGGTGAATCTCTGAGCTTGATGTGTGAAAGAATGGAATGAAATGGCATGTAATGCTTTAATGGAAAACGTTTATGATGAAGCAGATTGCGTAGGGCTCCTTTGTATATGATGTCTAAAGGGAAAGCAGGAAGGTGTGCTGTCCTTTTTTGTAGAGAACGGGGTCTTGAATAACGCTTGGAGCGGAGAGGAGAGTGGCAGAAGTGTTCTGCTGGGGAACACAGCGAGCAGGGAGCGTACAGGACGCCCTGCCTGGCAGGGAAGGGAGCTTGGGAAGTTGAGCAATGATTTAAAGGTCTCTGTAGCACAGGGCAGCACATAGTGCTGCTGCTGTGGTGGTCACCTGGCCTCTTACCTGAAGTGGTAGCTAGCACAGTAGCTGCGGATACCTTGTGGGATGTGCAGTGAACAAAAGGGAAGAAAGCATTCATTCAGTATATTCAGCACGTGTAAGCTATAGCTTCTACCTTAACAACAAGCAAAGAAATTTGGATGGATGATATTTTGCATCCCCATGCCTTCCAACTATATCTGTGTATCTATATTCCATGTAGTAACTACGTTCACTGATTTTTAGTTGGTTATTTACATTCCCCTATTTTAATAGAAAACTGAGACAAATGGTTATTGAGAACTTAATGCCTACAAAAGGATGTAATTTGTGTTTCAAGTATCTCAATACTTTCCCAGGAGGTTTGATATGAAGTAAGGAAAAGCCTTTCTGAATGAATGAATATCCTTTAATTTTTCTGCCTCAGGAGGAAGGAACTTGCTAGCATTTGCACTACTTTGTCACTACACCATGTGTTGCCTTTGCAAGGCAGGTGAATGGTTAGCAAAATGAGCATAGGTTAAAGTGCAGCTCTTACCTCATTTATTGGGTGCTCTGTCAGGTCACTGCTGTTGTCATCATAGTCAAATCGCTCAGTTCTTTACATCCCTTACAATATTCTAGTGATTTTTTTTTTTAAATTTTATTTTATTCTTGTTCACTTTTTTTTTAATAAACTTCCAGCAACGTTTAAAGTTACCACGTTTCAATGCCATTTCTGGCATCTTTGAAAACTGCAAATTCCGTGGGGCTGGTGGGTCCCCAGAATTGCTGTTTCATTTGTATGTGCCCACAGCATGGCCACAGCTCCTACCTGGCTGCCTGCAGGGAGACCAGTGCTGCAGCTGCAGGGTGAAGCCTGTACAGCAGCTGTGTAATGGAGGCATGGTTTTGGGAAAGGTGTAGGGGTGTACAACTGACATACAAGGATATGTACTTGAATTTTGGAAGAGTCTTAGTGATTTTCTAGCATGAGGAATAGGATAGGAGGGGAATGGAGACTTGAGTTTACAGCTTGGCAAAGAACCAGGCACTGCAGCTTGGATCAAATCAAATTTGGGAACCTTTATACTAGAACCTAAGAGGTTTGTCTGCAGACTGTGCTTTTCTTGAAAGCTGCTCAGGTGTCCTGGGTTCCCGGTGTATAAATTGCAATAACAATTCAAATTCTTAATAGCATTGACGAGTGAGGATTCAGTTTTTACTCAAGCAGTTATGTTTTCCAGCCATTGCCTATAAACTTAAAATAAGAGCATTTAATTCTAATGATTGCGTTTGACTTTTACAGGAGAAGACGTCTGGTCTTATGCAAAGGGCCTTCCTCAATTGTTTCAGCAGGGCGGAGTATTCTACAGCATAATGAAGAAAACCACAGGTATTTCTTTGTTTTTGTTTTTCTCCTTTTGTTTTTTCTGTTTTCAAACCTTTAACACCGTAAATTGTTGTTTATTGTCACGGTACATCTTTGCTTTTTGTAATATTAAGACTTTTGTAATAATAAGACTCCTTGTACACTGTCTTGTACGACTGAGGAATCAGATTACGACTGGTTCATTCAACTTATCTTGCAAATAACCATGCATCTCCATTTAAAGTTACTGACTCGGATGAACAACATCAGCGAGTCAACTGGAAAGATTAAAAACCAAGAAAAAGCCATGGTCTGTTCCTATTATGCATTTAAACACTTGCTGAACAGGGAGTTCATCTTTTTAGTCTGCTTCTTATTAGGTATTTTATACAGGGTTTGTGTGTGTGTTTGAAGTGGTTGGTTAAGTTTGTTTTTTGTATTCTTGAGATTGTTGTTCAAAAGGAAAGCTACCCCTGCACTTGTGTAGATAAATATCTCATTTTGGGCTGTATGTGGAATAATGTAGCAAACAATTACAGTATTTAATATGTTAGATTTGAGATGGCTGTAAAAGTACTACCTACAAAGAGTAACATCTGATTCTTTACAAAGCATTTAGTACTGAGTTCTTTTCTTCATTTGAAGTTTATTTTCTTGTTGAAGTCTTTGCAATTGTAGCTTAGTTCTTTTGATTTCATCTGTTATAAAGCTGCTTTTGCTGCTTTCTTATTGCCACTAAGCAGTTTTATCAACTGAACCTTGGTTATTTCTGGAAACAGGTGTTTTATCACATCATTTCTGTTACATTTGCAATAATTAAATGTGTCATGTACTCACTGCATGCTGCATCTCACTGAATTACTAGTCTGAGAAATAAAATGGACCTGCAGGTGTCTTACAGCAACTCTGCTTTGTTGTAGTTCTCTTCCTATTACTAAGCTTGTGCAGTAAAGGTTTTATGTTTGTGGCAAGCGATTTAGCTTAAACGATGCCCAGTTCTGGACTGATTAATAACCAGCTGGATCTGAAAGCCTGAAACAAATGCCAGAGATGTTAACCCAGCTAGTCATTAACTCACAGAAAATACCTGGCTTAAAAGTTTTTGCCACCTGACTTGTAAGAACTAAGGCCGTGGGAGGTGATGTGCTGTGTTTGAATGTTATTGCATTTCTGTTTGTTCAGATATCTTGTGCTGCTGACACTTTGGTAGGGAGAACCATTTCAGCATTAACATACTGGCATGATTTTAGCATTTTATAAACTACTTAATTTCCACATCAAACAACTAACTGTGCAACTTTTTTTTCACATCAAGAAGCTCCTTACGTGTTTGTAATGTTTTGTTTAATGCAGTGATGCAACTGTTATACTGAATATTTGGAGCAAAGCTGTCCATCCAGCATAGGTATAGTAATTGATTCAAGTTTGATTTAGCAGATACAGTTTGAGAACTCGTTTGGTTTTCAGGGCTGGTCGCAGAAGCTCCTACGGGCTTCTTTTGCAAGTGAAGGTTGAGTTGATAAATTGTTGTTCAGTTTTGTTCTTCAGGCTAACTTAGGTGGTTGGAGTTAAAACTTGCTCTGTACTGTGTTTTGGCTGGTTGGCTATCAGTTCCCATGATATGTAGACACAGGAGCTCTGTCTGAAGTTCTTGAAATAAAGAAAATATCTGTAGATTCCCTGCAGTTGTAGGAATGTGTGAATTGGAAGCCTTGGAGGCAGAACTGGACTGGTCATTTGGGTAATCAGCATTAAAACTGTTTCATTACATTTCATATTATTTCAGTGACCTTTTTATTGATGCTTAGAATATTTGTTTGGACTCCATTTTGGATAACAGAGAAAGGGTTTTGTTGACATCTACTCTGTGTAATTCCTGGTGTTTTTTGTTTTGGTTTGGTTTTTTTTAGTCATTAAAAAGCTGGAAAACTGATTTTTTTCTTTGAGACAGCAGTTTCAGAACTGAAATTTTCCTAGTGAACTCTCAATTTTAGCACATCAGTAGAATACTGAAACAAAATAATGTCTGATGTTTGTTTTGTAAAGGTTAATACTTACAATCTCTAGGACTACTGAGCATAGTAAGTTTGAAATGTTTTGTTTTTTTTTTTTTAAGCTAGCAGCACTTTCTCTCTGAGAAGACAAGAAATAAGGAATACCAACTTGTTCAGGTTTAATTATAGTTGTACACACCCAAACCCTGCTATTTTAACTGGTACAGAAGGGATCTTAAACAATACTTCTCCAGATTTGAAATGTATAGTGATTTGAAATGAACTCTCTTTGGATGTTTCCCATTGGTGGGTTTTGAGGGTTTTTGGGGGGGTCAGCAGCGAGCTCTGGGTGGTGATGGTTTTTGGCTTTCCTGGTGTTACTGCAAGCTGATACTGTTTCTTCAACTTCAGTTGCATTAGACCTGCAGGTCCTGTCAAGTTGGTTGTTTTATTCAGTAGTACTGCAATCCTGTCAGTTCATTAGACTGAGCACAGAAAGCAGCACTACTGTGGATGGTGACATCATATGGCTGTAGTTGTTTTTCCTCAACAGCAAAAAGTTTGTTTTCTCTGGTTTGGATGCGATAATTTTAAGTACAATAATTGCTGTGCATTGTGAGCATGCCTTTAAAACATGGCAACATTTTGAGTAACTTTTTTTTTTAATCCTTGTAGGTTTGGTCGATGGCAAGCACTGTACTTTTCCACATCTGCCTGGTAAAAACTTTGTGTACAACGCGGCGGAAGATCGATTAGAGCTGTGTGTGGATGCTGCTGGGCACTTTCCTATCGGTCCTGATGTCGAAGACTTGGTTAAAGAGGCCTTAAGTCAAGTGCGAGCAGAAGCTGCTTCACGAAGCAGGGAAGCAAGTCCATCTCATGGAATGCTGAAGCTGGGTAGTGGTGGAGTAGTGAAAAAGAAATCTGAACAGCTACATAACATAACTGCATTTCAAGGAAAGGGCCATTCGCTAGGAACTGCATCTGGTAGTCAACAACATGATCAAAGAGCCAGGGAAACACCACTTTTAAGAAAGCATAGTACAGAAACAGACTTCAGTCCTGCTAAAATTGAGCCTTCTGTATTCCCAGCTGCTTCTGGTAAGAGCGAGCTGATCCGAATAGCTCCTGGAGTTGTGACAATGAGAGACAGCAGGCAGCTCGACCCTACTTTGATTGAGGCACAGAGAAAAAAGTTGCAGGAAATGGTCTCCTCTATTCAGGCTTCAATGGATAGACACTTGCGGGATCAGAATACAGAGCAGTCAGCAGCAGTTGATGTATCTCAAAGAAAAGTAGAGGCAGTGAGTTCAACTGCTAAAACTGGGAGCTTTCAGGCTGCCTTGCCTGAACCGTTTTCTGCACCGGGTGGTACTGAACACTTGAATATTGAGTCAGCTGGTGATAACATGGAGAATTCTGTGGGAACAACTTTCCCTGCAAGGTCTAAAGCACAAAAGGGAAATTCTGTTGAGGAGCTTGAGGAAATGGATAGTCAAGATGCAGGAATTAGTAATGTAACTGAGCCAATGGATCACTCTTGATAGGTTAAAATCTAATAAGGGTAGAAGAAATTACTGTTCAAATGTAATGTTTATTGGCTGGGCCACACAAAGTGATTAGTTATTAAATCTTGTACGTATGTCAAAAAAATTATATCATCTTATTCAGTGCATGATAAGCAAGTGTGTGATTGGCAATAGCTTTTAATATTACCATACTGCTACCCAGGCTGGCTCTGTTACCTGTAAATTAGTTATTAGGAAATGCACTGAGATGAATATCTGCTGTAATGTGGGTTATTGAAAGTTCTTTGTAATTTTTAATTCCATGTAAGTCTTAAAATTTAAGCCCATGCGAGATTCTTACTGTGCTAGTTGAGGCTACTGGAAAGGCTAAACCAGGCAAAACTAGAAACTTGACAAGGTTAATCCTGTCCCAGGTACTTAATTCCACTCAAGAATACACTATAAACATGAGCTACACATGAAAAGCAATTGAAACTAAACTTGTCTTAAATTTTACAGTTTGACATATACATTTCTTTAATTACATTGTACTGGCACTTCCTCAGATGTAAAAACGTTTTCATTCATACAGCTGTATACACTTGTCAGAAATCTTGGAATAAGTGTAACTGTAGTCAATTCTATTTTCTGCATATGTCAGTTTAAGCAAGTTAAGAAAGTGTATGGTGAAGATAAAGTGAACGTGGGGTGGTTATGCGTGGCTGTCTGAGCCAACACAGCCATGTTGATGCTCTGGTACATTTCCTCCCAAATACTGAGCTGGTTCAAACGTTTTATGACTTTAAATACAACAGCGGGAGAGAAATTGGCAATTGTAAGAAAAAACAAAAGTTCATTAGCAATTCTGTTTCTCTTAAAAGGCTTCAATTACTAGCATTGGTCAGTAACTGGCAAAAAAAACCCAAACCAAAATAAAACAAGGAAACAACAAAGAACCCAAACAAATAATGGCTGCCCTCTTCAGAGCAAATTAGTGATTTATTGGAAGGAAACGACTCTCTAAAACACATTTTCCTCAAGCATTTGCTAGCAGTTGAGCTTTTGGAAGCTAGCTGTTTACTCAGTGGCAGCAAGGAATGTAACAAGGAATACACGTGTTTCATTGGCTATAAAGACTACCCACCTTGATTGGCTTCAGTTTGGGGTGCAGGTTTCCCTGTGTCTGTAATATTATCGCTGGTATCCACATAAGTAGTGTGTTCATCAGACCTGCAGTGCTAATTTTTAAGGAGGAGCCATTATGCTTGCTCCCTAAGGATGGAATGTTTATCTGATATTGCACTTTGCTTCCTATCTTCATAGCCACATTTAAGTGCACTGTTGTTGCTTCTTCTAATGGTAAAATAACATTGAATGAATGAAAGATGCTAATACAGCTTCAGAGGAATTAAGAGCATTTAAGATATTGAAGTCAGTGTTTGTGCACATGTGGGTTTTTACCAGTTCAGAAATGTTTGTATTGTATATGTTTGTATTCAGAAAAGTCCTCGCTTTTTACATTTCTAATCACTTAAACTGTTCTGAGCATTAGAATGCAAAATGCCCCATGAAGATTTATTTTTGTATGTTTTAAAGAAAAAAAAAAATTAGCTGATGTGATCCACTTAAAGGATAGGCCCCCCATTTTGTGGAAGTCAATTTGAATTTCTCTCTTGACTACCTTCTTATGCAGAGGGAGTGAATATGTTACAATGTATAGGTTTAGGTAAAATAGAAGAATCACATTTTCACGAATAAATGCAAAAACTGAAGGCCTCCAATCTGTAAGTTAGTGACTTGGCAACTTGAAATGTATAAAGTAGTCTGGCACACCAGAACCAACCTTGCTGATGCACTGATTAACTGGCAGTGCTTATTCAATGAGAAACAGGATGCACATGCAGCAGCTGGAAGCTTGCCACGACTTCTGAAAACATTTAGTCTCCCATGAATCAGTCTAGCTGTCTGAAGGCTATTTCTGTATATAAAATGTTGAGCAGAGGATTGTGCTTTGTCACAGCTTGAGGTTTAGAAAAGTCTGGCAGTGGAGCGTTCCTGGGAAGGAACTTCAGTGAGGAGGGGCTGAGGGGAAGGAGTCACCTGAATCTTTTGCGTTTTAGAGAAGACTGCTATCACTTTGACACTTTCAACCTTTCCTTTGCAAAAATCTTCCTCAGTTAAAAATAAATGAGCACTGTATATGAGAGAATTTTAATTTTGAAATAAATTGAAATATTTATTGCACATCATCCTTATTCCAAGGAAAGGTGCTTACTTTAATGCCTTTGTGGTAAGGGTGCAGAAGTTTGTGTGCCTTTTACTGTGTAAAGAGGAAGGCTTGGTTTGCTTTTGACACGCTTCCCATTTCAGCAGCAACTCGATATTTTCAATCTTCACTAAATAGAAGTAGACACAGATAATAGCTCTGCTTGACTCACACTTACTGTCATCTCTGGGATCCACTAATCTCACATAGATCAGAATTCTCCAGTTCCTAAAACAAAATCGTCTCACAAAGGAATGGTAAAATGGTGTCAAAATTACAACATCTGCTGAAATGAACTCTTTTGGTGTCACGTAGGATTGTGCATTTTTTGGTGCAGTGTTCTTATTTCACCTAGCTTTCTCACGCATTTAAATATTAGTGTTTTTGAGAAAGATGGCTTTTGATACTCTCAAGTAAGGCTAAGCTTCATCTACATGCTGGCAAGATGTGTAACTGTACAGGAGAAGTGAAATAAAGAACACTGAAGTGTAAATTTGAACAGATGTTTCCTTTAATTGCTTCCAGTGGATGCAGTTGTAATTTGAAGTGAATCAGAGTGCCTGCATAAGCACCCACGTGCGTGTTAACTTCCCTGCTAGAGTCAGGAAAACTGGTGGGGCACAAGGGCAGGGAAGGCGTTGACTCACTGTGCGTGTGAAGCCCCCTGCGAACGGAGCTTCTGAAATGATTTGAAACCTACACCTTTCTCTTAAACAGCAGCAACAAAAAAACATCCAGCCCAACTTCTTGCTGCTGTGTTGCCTCTGAATTTAGGCTATGGCTCTACATTTTCTTTGAGCGCTCATCTTGCTTACTTTCTTGTCTAGGGGCCGACCACTTTTTAATACAGCATCTCGTGACAAAGATGATATCAATTACTTGAACATTTTAAAATTTACCTAAATGAGAGTAAAACCTAAATGAGAGACGACTACTGAAAAGACAGGCCCAGAACAGCAACCCCACCACCCAGCAACAGCAAAAAAACAAACAGAAACCCAAATGGGAAGCCCCAGGAGAACAGATCAGTTTTGGGGGCAAACGCAAGAGTTTTACTACTTAAAACGCCTTAGTTAGTAAGGTTGGTTTATTTTTTTTTTCATAGTCCTGTTTCTCTGAGAATTACTTGCATTTCAGCGAAGAGAAAGGAAACAGCAACTTGTTAAATGAAATAACATGAATACCTTTGGGTTGTCCTCAGTGTTGCGGACATGAAGAAGCAGCGTATGTTTGTGGTTACAGTTCGCACAGTGTGAAGTAGACGTGGTCTCCAAAAGAACACGCCAGCAGCTTCACAAAGGCACAGTGCTGCAAGGCTGTCTGCTAACAGCCCTGTACGTATACAACGGGCAAACTTTCCACAGCAAAATATTTCATTTACAATCTTTGAAGAAGTGGAACCCATTATCGCTGTCGCAAGGCTAGCAGAGCTCATTGCTGCTTTCTCAGTTTCTTGTGGAAATGTCAGTTAATGAAATTTGGGGTATGCTTGCAGTTGGGAGAGTTATGCTTATGCTACAATGTAAGGAATCAAAACTGATCGTTTTAAGAAGATTCCCCTCTTTTCTCTATGTTTGGTTGGCTCCCATTTTTAAGAGAGCAAATTTACCTGCTTTTCTAGAAATAACATGAATTTGATCCCTCCCTTTAAAAAATAAAAGAAAAAAGAAACAGCCAACAGTAACAAAATAGTGATTTCTTTGTTTTGCTTGTGAATATCATTTTAACTTCTTAAAACTGAAGAAGCTGCTTATCATCTTTAGAATGCAGGATTCCCTCTGAGCCCTTATGCCTGCGGTTGAGCAATAAAAGGTTGGAGTGAGTGGTATTTTCAGAATTATTTTGTTTAACGGGGATTACTGTTAAGAAACGAAAGAGTGCACTTTCAGGAGGGAATGCTATTTAAAATGTATAAATAAGAATTAATAGTGTATATATTTAGCAAACAAATCTTTTTAAACCGTAGGTGCTTTACGTGTTGACTTAAAAAGAAACTAGCATAGAAACGATACCATCTTCACAGCACTGGCTGTTATCCAGCTTACTTTGGTTTTGTTTTATTTGTGATTGCTGTACTAATTATATTTGATTTTTTTATTTGTAATGTAACAATAGTGTATTATAACAGTATATAGTGTATTATATTACACTTCACTGTACAGTATTTGGAATTTTCTTTGATTGCTATATTAAAACTGTAAGTTAAAACATTTGCTTTGGCTTTATAAGATGCAACTTTTATCTAGCCTTTCTCACAATAGCCTGTTTAATTAACACTGATTTGGCTACAAAATGAGTGAGTTGTAATTACTTTTATCTTCCTCATTCTATGTATAAATTGTTTTCTACTTGCATTCATGAGTACTGGTACAGAGGCTGAAAAACTGGCACAGACTGGTAAGGTAAGCTTTAGTTACATTTCTGATTAAAAGAGGATTTCTGAAAGAATGACTAGAGAAAAGCTTTTTGGATTTCACACTTGCTCTAAATATTTCATTAAACACGTAGGACCTTTGAATTCAAGAGTCTTAAAAGTGGATTTTTATATATTTGAGAGTAAAATCTGAACCTTTTCACAGCTGTCACCAATAAGGTGTAGAAAAATGCTGTACAAATGCTGCCATACTCCTATGGTTTGAAAATGGTTTGTTTAAAATACATCTCAAACCAAAATTTAAAGACATGCATTTAGTATATCAGTGTGGATAGTAAAATTTGGAAGAAGCAGGCCTTTCAAAATTTGGCAGTACTTAAGAATAACACATTGACAGCTACTTAAATTATCTCTGTGCTTTTTCATTTCATCTCTTTTTCATCTCTTATGCTATTTAATTTCAAAAGTTGGCTGTAATTTTATCTTTTGAGCCTACAAAGAAGTCTGATAATCCATCTGTGAAACTTGTGCTGCTTCTTCCTTTATTTACTGAAAGACCTAAATTCAAAATGCGATAGCATTGAGATGTTCTTTAAAGCGATGGATTTAAATGTACTATGCTAATTATGATTGTGTGTTGTATCATGAAAAATTGGTAATTATCCTTTAAAAGATTTGTATTTTAAAGGCTTAAATGCCTACTGCAAAACTAGACAGTTATTCATCTTTTTTTAATGCAGAATTTATAATCTAAACTCAAACCGTATTGTATGAAGCAATCAAGAATGTTTTAAATGTTTTCGTTTTTCTTTTATTAATTTTGTTTATCAGTATATGTCTTTGTTAGATTACAGCTATTCATTTTTTTCTCCTCCTCCTTCAGCGTCCTATATTTATACAGCAAATCTAATATAAAAATCTAGCTGCAAAACTTGATCTGATTGCCAGAACAAGACCCTCACAACTGATTTTTTTCCATAGGATCAGGATGAGAGTTAATCTTGGACGTTCATCAGCAGGTGTAGAGTGTCATGGGAGGTGTTCTGGGTACCATGAAGAGTCATTTCAAACATATTTTGACTGAAAAAGTTGCCTTGTGATGTAGAGTCTTTTTTTTTAAGGCTGGAATATATTTTGGCTTCTACTGACTTGTGATGTTTTGAATATTTAATTGTTAATGATAGGTGAAGAAAAGTAATAACACTTGAATCCATAACAGACGTGGTGACATCATGGAAACCTGGCAGTCAGAGCTGGTATTTGAATTAAACAGATAGCTCAGAAAGTAATGCCTCCTAGAATCATAGAATGTCCAGAAGTGGGAGGGACCTATAAGGATCATCGAGTCCAACTCCTGGCTCCACACAGGACGACTCAAAAATCAGACCATGTATCTGAGAGCATTGGCCAACTGCTTCTTGAACTCTGGCAGCTTGGGGCTGTGACCGCTGCCCTGAAGAGCCTGTTGCAGTGCATGACCACCTTCTGAAGAACCTTTTCCTGCTACTCAACCTGAACCTTCCTTACTGAAGTTTCAGGTTCTTCCCTCAGGTCTTGACACTGCCACAGGGAGCATAACTCAGCACTGCCCCTCTGCTCTCCGTGAGGAGCTGCAGCCACCATGAGGCCTCCATTCAGTCTCCTTTAATCTGGGCTGAACAAACCAAGGGATTTCAGCTGCACCTTGTACATCTTCCCCTCTAGACCCTTCACCACTTTCATAACTCTCCTTTGGACGCTCTCCAGTAGTTTTGTATTCTCTTCGTGCTGTGGTGCCCACCTGCAGACAGTACTTGAGGTGAGGCCACACCAATACAATGCAGAGGGGGACAATCCCTTTCCTCAACTGGTTATCAGTGCCATATTTGATGCACTCTGGATATGATTGGCCTTCTTGGCTGCTTGGATAAACTCACGTACAACTTGCTGTCTACCAAGACCCCTAAATCCCTTTGAGTGGACTGCTCTCCGGCACTGCATCCCCAGTCTGTATGCATAGGCAGGGTTGCCCCTTCTTGGTCTTGTTAAACTTCATGTGGTTGCTGATGGCCCAGCTCTCTAACTTGTCTAGGTCTCTGTATGGCCTCTCCACCCTTGGTGGAGTCAGCAGCTCCTCCTAATTTAGTATCATCAACAAACTTGCCCAAAACATCTTCTAGTCCTACATCAATGTCATTTAAGAAAAAATTAAAGAGAACTGGCCCTAAAGTGGAGCTCTGAGGAACCCCACTAGTGACTGGCTGCCAGCCTGATGTAACCCTGTTTACTAAAATCCTTTGGGCCTGACCTGTCAGCCAATTGCTATTTATTAATTTCCATGGAGACTACAACAGCTACAAAGATTACAGTAACGCTATTTGATAGAACAAATGTTCAGCTACAAAATGCTATTTTTCAATGCAGTCAGCTATGCATTTTTGCATGGTTTTGATGTATGAGAGCCTGCATGCTGTGCTAGTAAAATTCTGCACCAGAGGAGGTGATCTGCTGTTGCTACTGCTGAAATGCATCACCCACCTTCTTACTGCACTCGTGTTCACTTTCCAGTCTCCATGAACATTCAGCGAGCACCAGTGAATGTCAGTGGGTGCCACTGTTTCTGCATGGAGGAATTCCACCACACAAACCTGTGCTCCATACGCACTTCCACGTCAGGCGCCATTTTGTCAGACTGCCCCTCTGCTGCCATCTGTCACACAGCAGCAAAATGGAATGGAATGGTGGTGGGAAGGCTCAGCCTCTGCTGCCATACCGCCAACAGCCACCTCTGATGTCGTGGGCAAACATAATAAAATAGGAAATGTTATTTTCATGGCAGCCCTTAAACTGAGGATGCTGGGTGATTCTGAATGTTTATTTAAATTTTCAAAGACATTAGGCTTCAATGTGAGCATCACTTCTGTTGCAGTAACTGACAGAGGCTTCACAAGAGACCATTATTCTCTGTTCTGTTACTTTAAGGCATTAATTTGATGATTATGGCATAGCTGCACAAATTGTATTTGGTCTTTATCCACCTCTGTTTTTCTTTAAGACTACCTAATTTTGTTTTCTTCTGGAAATATTTTTAGTGGATTGTCTTGCTGGTAGCTAATCTAATTTCACTTCTAAAGCAGTCCTGCAGA